AAAGTGAGTCAAAGGCTTAGAGAGACTGGAATGTTAGAGTGGATTTGTCATTTAAGACCTCACCCACACTGGATGGGTTCAGAAGACATCTTTCACTGATCCTTTGAGAAATAAATTCGTGAGAGTAGCCCCACCATCCTTGAGGAGCTGGTAATTGCTCTTCTCTGTTGGCCAGAACTTACAGTGGGAACCATAGCCACTCAATGGAAAACCTAAATGCAGGGGGGATATTTGGATCCCTAGGTAGCAGGGGCCAAGTAGTGGCACTCAAAGGCCACTACGAAAGGCAAAGTGGGTGTAGTTGCCGTAATGGACAGCAGAGTCAAAACAGCATGTGGAATAGTCTGACTCGTGACCTGTGGTGTTGGCTCATCGTGGTGTTCCTAGAAGGGAACTAGATCGGAGCTCTCCTGAATTCTTGATCTGTTTAAGCAGAAAAGTTCTAAGTCAAGTGAACAAACATCTCAAATTATAAAAACAGAGTCATGGCCCCATCATCAATTCCAGACTTAAGCCATTTTTCAGTCTTCTTGAATGAAGGAGAGACTAGGTACCCTCAAGAAAGGATCCTGGTACCCTACCAATTTATACTCGTATTTTTCCCAGCCTTCCCTAAAAGGATCGACGAGCTTTTACCAAGGTAACTGCATTGTCTAAAAGAATATAATTACACCTTTGGGGGACTACTGAACACCAGCTCTGAACTAACACTGACGCTGTGTTCCATGCCACTCCATTCAGGCCTGCGGGGAAAGCCTGCAGACCCCTTCCCACGGGTGAAGCCGGAGTTCCTCATTCTCTGTGACTTCTGGTAGCACACTCACCGTGCTGACCAGGGCTGAGGCTGGAAGCTCCACAGGTAGACTGCAACATGCCACCAGCTACACCCCCAGAGCAGGACAAAGAGGCTGCAGCAGCTTCCAGCTCTCCAACTGCAGAGGGATGCTCTGAGATGGAGCTTGAGAAGCAGCAGCACCATCACTCCTATTCCTTCACACTCCCATCCCTTTAGTCTCTGAAAACCTCAAGTAGGTGTCTGCCAATTGCAGTGCTCAAGGCTCAAACCAGGTGTCTTGGGGTCCTGTTTTGGTTTCCTTCCATACAGAGGGTTTTCTATGGATCACTGCCAAACATTGGGATCATCTCCTCTGTCCACTGGTCTTCAGCAGGAAGACGGCAGCTGGCATTGCTGCACTGTGATTGCTGGTGGGGCGGGGGGGGCTTTCCTTTGCTGACTCAGCTGCTACTCTGGGCCTCCCTCAGTGATGAGACCAAGAGATAGGAGACAGGCCTGGTGCTGCTGCTGTTCTGCTGCTTCTCCAGAGAAACCCTGGGACACTTTTGCTCTGCCTGGTTTCCTGGGCTGGGCTCAGGAAACCTGCCCAGTTCAGTCCTGTGATGGGTTCAAGCTGCCCTGTGCTGCTTCTGTCAAGTCAGGTGTGGACATTCCAAGTTCATAAGCGTGAACAAAAGAAAAGAGGAACCCAATGGATGTAACAGCTGACTCCAGCTGAGTGTGTAGGTTTTTGCTAAACTGTTTATTCATCCCTTTTGGCTGTGGTTTGCATGAATGGCAACAGTTACCCCAGGTGTGGGGAATGAGAGTGCGTTGCTTGATGGAGTCTGATGCATTGGGAGCGACCATCATTGCAATTGGGGATTGTTTTGCCGGGAAAGAATGTTTTTATTTGGGGGACCAGCAAAATCTCTAGTGTGAAATTTCAAATAGTTGTTTTATCTTTGGTTTGGTTTACCCAAAAAAGCCAGAAAAAGAGTTAAAAAAAAAAAAAAAAAAAAAAAAAAGAATAATTTTGGAGCGAGGCCCTGCCAACATCCTTGGATAGCTTCTCTTTGACAGACAACTCATGGCCTACTACTGGGCTTTAGCAGAGACTGAATGCTTGACCATGGGCCACCAAATTACCGTGCAACCCTAGCTGCCCATCGCGAACTGATGTTATCTGACCCACCAAGTCCTAAGTTGGGTGTGCATAGCAACACAATATCCCATTCTCAAATAGAAGTGATACATATGTGATTAGGCCCTAACAGGCCCTGAAGGCACAAGTAAGTTACGTGAAGTGGTCTAAATGCTGGTGGTCCCCACTCCTTCTACACTGCCTTCTCTTTCTCAGCCTACACCTGTGGCTTCATGGGGAGTTTCCTGTTATCAGCTGACACCTCAAAAGAAGATTGGGCCTAGTTTGCAGATGGTTCCGCATGATACGCAGCCCCACCCGAAAGTGGACAGCTACAGCACCACAGTCCCTCGCTGGGACACCCCTGCAGGACAGTGGTAAAGAGAAATCCTCCCAGTGGGGCATAACTCTGCATAGCAGACTTGGTTATGCACTTTGTTTAGAAGGAGAAATGGCCAGATGTGCAATTAAATATCAATTCATGGGCTGTAGCCAGTGATTTGGCTGGATGGCCCAAATGATTGGAAATTTAGTGACAAAGAAATTTGGAGAAGAGGGACCAGGCGTGATGGCTCTTGCCTGTAATCCTAGCACTTTGGAAGGCTGGGGCAGGCAGATCGCTTAAGCTCAGGAGTTCAAGAACAGCCTGGGCAACATGGCAAAACCCTGTCTCTTGCTATATTTTTGGTTTTTTTTGAGACGGAATCTCACTCTGTCACCCAAGCTGAAGTGCTGTGGTGCAATCTCAGCTCACTGCAACCTCCGCCTCCTGGGTTCAAGCAATTCTCCTGTTTCAGTCTCCCAAGTAGCTGGGAGTACAGGTGCCCACCACCACATCTGGATAATTTTTGTATTTTAGTAGAGACGGGATTTCACCATGTTGGCCAGGCTGGTCTCGAACTCCTGACCTCAAGTGATCCGCCTGCCTCAGCCTCCCAAAATGCTGGGATTACAGGCATGAGCCACTGCATCCAGCCCCTCTATTACACTTTTAAAAAAGGAAAAGAAATTTGGATAACAGGTATTTGGATAGATCTCTCAGAATGGGCAAAAAACACAAATATGTTTGTGTCCCATGTGAATGTTCATTGAAGGTGACCTCAACAGAGGATTTTGTTAATTTTTTTTTCGGAGACAAGATAGTATTTGTCACTCAGGCTGGAATGCAGAAGTTTGATCATAGCTCACTGTAACCTCAAACTCCTGGGTTCAAGCAATCATCCCACCTTAGCCTCCTGAATAACTAGGACTGCAGGTACATGCCACCATGCCTGGCTTATTTATTTATTTTGTAGAGATGAGGTTTTATTATATTGAACAGGCGGCTCTCAAACTCCAGGGCTCAAGCAATTCTTCCTGCCTCTGCCTCCCAAAGTTCTGGGATTGCAGGCATGTGCCACTGCACCCAGACAACAGAGAAGGATTTTAATAATAAAATGGATAGGCTGACCCATTCTGTAGATACCAGTCAGATTCTTTCCCCAGCCACCACTGTCATTACCCAACGAGCTCATGAATAAAATAGCCATGGTGGCAAGCATGGAGATTACACACAGGCTCAGCAACATGAACTTCAACTCGCCAAGGCCAGCCTGGCCCCCAGTATGGCATCATTCCCTGGAATGATCAGTCAGCTACCTGGGGGCAGGTTGGTGACATTGGATTGCTTCCATCATAAAAGGGGCAGCGGTTTGTCCTTACTAAAACAGATACTCTGGATGTGGATTTGTCTTCCCTGAACACAATACTTCTGCCAAAACTACTATGTGTGGACTTACAGACCGCCTTATCCACCATCATGCTGTTCCACACAGCATTGCGTTCTGATTAAAGAATTCAACGTTACAGCCAAAGAAGCGTAGCAATGGCCTTATGCTTATGCTTACGGAATTTTTTTGTCTTACTGTGTTCCCCACTGTATCCAGAAGCAGCTGGCTTGACAGAGCCATGGAATCGCCTTTTGAAGAATCAGTTGTGGTACCAGCTAGGGGGCAATACCTTGCAGCGCTTGCAGGAAGCTTCTCCAGAAGGCTGGAAATGCTCTGAACCAGTGTCCAATATACGGTGCTCTCTCTCCCATAGCTGGGATTCACAGGTCCAGGAATCAAGAGGTAGACATGGGAGTAGTGTGACTATTACCCTTAGTAACCCATTAGCAAAATGTTTGCTTACTGTTCCCAGGACTTTATGCTCTGCTGGCCTAGAGATCTCAGTTCCGGAGGGAGGAATGCTCCTGCTAGGAGACACAGTGATCTTGTTGAACTGGATTTAAGACTGCTGCCCAGCCATCGTAGGCTCCTTGTGTCTCTGAGTCAATAAGCTAAGAAGAAAGTTACATTGCTGGTTGGGGCAGTTGATTTGCATTACCGAGGGGAAACTGGATTGCTACTCCACCACTCCACAAAGGAGGACTGTCTAGAATACAGGTCACTTAGGATGCGTCAGCATTACCACACCTTGTGATTAAGGTTAGGGTAAAACTGCAACAACCCAATCCAGGCAGGACTACTAACCACCAGATCCTTCAGGAATGGAAGTTTAGGCCACTCCACCAGTTAAAGAACCATGACTGATGACTTGTGTGTTGAAGTCAAAAGGAATACAGAATGGATAGTAGCAGACGGCAGTTATAAAAACAGGAATAAGGGCTGTAATCACCGTATGGCCTCTTTTTTTTTGAGACAGAGTTGCCCAGGCTGGACTGCAGTGGCCTGATCTTGGCTCACTATAGCTTCTGCCTCATGGGTTCCAGTGATTTCCTGCCTCAGCCTCCCAGGTAGCTGGGATTATAGGCACATACCACTATGCCTGGCTAATTTTTGTATTTTTAGTAGAGATGCGGTTTCACCACGTTGGCCAGGCTGGTCTCAAACTCCTGACCTCGTGATCTGCCCGCCTCGGTCTTCCAAAGTGCTGGGATTATAGGAGTGAGCCACCATGCTTGGCCAGAACTCTGCATTCTTGGGAGAAGTTTATTAATTAAGTGGTGTTATTTGGGGGTGAGTGAAGAGGGAGCCAACTAGTATGCTGGGGAACTGGGGGAGGGCAGAGGTCCCCAGAAGCAAAATGTAAGGTTCTTGTCTTTGGGATCCTTTTCTCTCCTTAGAGAAGACCCTTTAGATTTCTGCCTGAGGAGCTGATGCCTAGCTGTCAGGCTTCCTTCTTGCCAAGATAGGGGTGTTAACTCCTACAGACGAACTTTCAGTCAATCGTTTTTGCCAGCCCCACATCTCACTATAGCTCCATGCTGTACTTGAGTTTATCCATCCACAGCCCCTTTAGGGTCCCTAGAGCCAGTCTTCTTCCTAATTGGCTGTGACTCCCAGGTTCTTTGTATTTTTCCCAGCAGTGGTGCAATGATTGCACAGAAGCAATGATCTTCTTACCTGAGCCTATGTATAACCACTGGCCTAAGTGAAATACGGTTTGCCAGCATCAGCAGGAAGACTGCCAGTGGGGCTAAAAATCAAGTTCTCTTAAAGCTAAATCTCAATTCGCTGCTCTAAGCTGACCAACTTAATCTGAAAAGAATTTGCCGCATGTAAATATGTGAGGATTATAGTCATCTGTATATACACTTACATTAAAAATGGTTCTGCTCCCATTAACTTAGTCTAAAAGAGTCACCTAAGAATGCCAGACGTTATTTTGTTCGAATGCCATGGTTACTTTAGTTTAGAAGCATTTCTTTCAAAGCCGCGTCTCTCTTCACAGCAGTTGAGCTCTGGCAGTGAATTAAGCGGTCGAGGATTCAGCGAAGCTGTGGCTAATTTCTGGTTCCAATCTGGAATTGAAAACAAATTAAGGATTTATTTTAAGGCTACTCACTAATTTTCAACACACTGTCCTTTTAGCAATTGTGCACAACAACAAAACTTACAGGGTTTAAGACGAATGCATTTAAAATGTTGGAAAAGGACTCGGTCAAAAGGTTCCTTTTTTGGTTCAGTCTCTGATGAAGAGGCATATTATTGAATTATGCCGAAATATAAGATGAAACGAATCACATGCATTTGCATTTTGGTATCTCAGTCTGTTTGGTACCCCCAAACCTTTTTAGTCTGACATTTTATCAGTGCAGCATTTTGTACCACACTGCCCTCGTTGCCCTCCCTAAATTATTTTTTTCTCTTTTTGGAGGTTTCTTTGTTTTTTCAAATTGTATTGACTATAAACCTTTGGACTGAAAAGTTCAGTGTACCCCAAACAGAATAAACAAAGTTCAAAACCATACAAAATCAACCACTATATTATTTAGGAATATATATATATATATATATATATATATATATAGTAAAAACAATCAATAGCAAAGGCAAGATGAACACAAATTCAGGACAGGGGGTACATCTGGGGAGAAAGATGGTGGACCCAAAGGCTTTAAGTATACTAGTCAATTATTTTTCACAACTGACCTAAGGGATAAATAAGTATTTTTATTATTACTCTTTAAACTGAATATATAGAAAATGTTTTTGGCAGGTACAATAGATATCACAATAAATAGAAAATAGGCCTGACATGGTGGCTCAGGCTAATTCCAGCACTTTGGGAGGCCGAGGCAGGTGGATCATTTGAGGTCAGGAGTTCAAGACCAGCTTGGCCAACATGGTGAAACCCCATCTCTATTAAAAGTACAGAATTAGCCAGGCATGGTGGCAGGCTCCTGTAATCCCAGCTACTCGGGAGGTTGAGGCAGGAGAATTGCTTGAACCCGGGAGGCAGAGGTTGCAGTGAGCCAGGGTCGCGCCATTGCACTTCAGCCTGGGTAACAAGAGCGAAACTTCATCTCAAAAAATAATAAGGAAAAGAAATCAATGAAGTTCATCCATTCTTCTTACAATAACACAAACCAGAAACCTAGGAGTCACCCTTGACCACTGTCTCACCAACCAAATCCAATTAATTATCACTCTCTATCTCTCCCACTCCCACTGCCACGACCCTGCCCAAGCCACCTGGACTCACCAGAAACACTGATATCCTTTCACCTTGCTTAGACTCCTGCCGTCATCCAACCTCCAGACAACAGCCAAAGAACACACTTTAAACCTTCAACCGGGAGTCCATTTCACCATCCCCTTTGCTATCAGAAGCAGCAGAGTGACAAGGACATTGCCCAAGGCCACACAGCCAGGAAATGGCAGAGGCAGAACTCAAAATCTACTGATCTTACTTGAGAGTTCACGTCTTATCCACCCACCATCCTGCCATCCCTAAATTCATACCTATTGGTGCTCCTTCGTATTTTATAACCTCTAATCTATAATCATTAACAGTTTTGCTCATCTAAAGATAAGGATTCAAAGACAATTTTAATACAGTTATTGCTCAAGGAACCAAAGACTAGTGTTTCAATAGCATTGTAAGAAAACTTTTTTTTTTTTTTTTTTTTTTTTGAGACAGAGTCTTACTCTGTCGCCCAGGCTGGAGTGCAGTGGAGCCATCTCGGCTCACTGCAACCTCTGCCTTCCGGGTTCAAGAGATTCTCCTGCCTCATCCAAGTAGCTGGGATTACAGGTGCCCACCACCACCACCCCTTGCTAATTTTTGTGCTTTTAGTAGAGATGGGGTTTTGCCATCTTGGCCAGGCTAGTCTGGAACTCCTGACCTCAAGTGATCTGCCCACCTTGGCCTCCTAAAGTGCTAGGAGGGTCCTAATAATACATTTTTGTTACAATGTAACAGAGTAATTCTCAGTGGTACATTGATATTGCCATCTCAAAAAGATTAATTTGCCTAAGTATACATAGCTTATAAGAGGTACAGTCCACATTTAACACAGAACAGACTCCGAAATCATCAATCTTTCACTGTTCTAGTCTACCTTCCTTAGTGCTTCAAGAGTATCTCAAGAAATCCACATTTCTGGATATTAAGAATGGAAAACATTTCACTAACCCAAGGAGCATAACCAGAAATGAAATCTTTGAGGATTTTTTTAGATTGAATCAAGCGTGATTCTGTCTGTAGTTAGCAATGACATGACTTTCCAAGGTTTACTATGGAGTCCAATAGCAACGCCTCAGCCTCCCAGAGCGCTGGGATTACAGGCGTGAGCACCGCACCCGGCCAATTATGTTTATCCTTTTTGCACTTGAGAATATTGAAAGTCAGAGAGCCTAAGGACCATGCTGTTGGTAAAGACATATATTTTATCTTGGAAAAATGAGTTATTTGAATTATTTGGCACCAGGTAAGTAATACAAGGGTAACTTTCTTCTGAGGGTCCATCTCGTCTCTAAGTATGCTGTGTTCTGGAAATATAATAAAGTAGTTTATAAATGTGAGGAATTCCACTCAGCAACTCTTCGTGATCCTTGTAGGATGTACAATGGGGTTGAATCATACACATTTAACCGGGTGAACTCAACAGTAAATGTGAGAACAGTAGGTGTTATCAACCCTGAAATGTGCTACACAGATCGGGGATGCTGTGGAAGGAAAGTGTGAAACGGTTTTTTGGATTTCCTTACCATCTGACAAAATGCAATTACTGTTTGTGTGGATTTGTGGTGGTGACGACTTTGGAAGTCATTGTTGAAAAATAATATGAAGAATTAGTTGATAACCACAGAGAAACTTTAATCACCTTGCTGAGAATTCCGGGTATTCCAAATACGTCGATGATTTAGTATAATCACTCTTTAACAATCAAGAAATTTTGTTTGTCTGTTCGTTTTTTGAGATGGAGTTTCCTTCACTCTGTTGCCCAGGCTGGAGTGCAGAAGTGCTCACTGCAACCTCCTCCTCCTGGGGTTCAAACAATTCTCCTGCCTTAGCCTCCAGAGTACCTGGAACTTTAGCCATGAACCATCATGCCTGGCTAATTTGTGTGTGTGTGTGAACCACCATGCCTGGCTAATTTGTGTGTGTGTTTGAACCACCATGCCTGGCTAATTTGTGTGTGTGTGTGTGTGTGTGTGTGTGTGTGTGTGTGTGTTTCGGTAGAGATGGGGTTTCACCATGTTGGCCAGGCTGGTCTCAAACCTCTGACCTCAAGTGATCAACCCACCTCAGCCTCCCAAAGTGCTAGAATTACAGGTGTGAGCCACTGTACCTGGCCAGTCTAAGAGATTTTTCAAGGATAACTTTGATCATGTGTGATTTTTACCTTGTGCACTGATTTTAGAACTTAATTGCATTAGTCTTTTACAGATATTTATTATGGCATATATTTATTCTTGATCAATAATACTAACAGAAACTAAGATTTTTGAAGGTATAGTACGTAATATTACATACAGGCATAATGCTTATGCTTAAATTCTTTTTTGTTTTTTTCCAATCTGACAGGGCAGCTTTTATTTATTTATTTTTTTTTTTGAGGCAGAGTCTCACTATGTCACGAGGCTGGAGTGCAGTGGTGTGATCTCAGCTCACTACAATCTGTACCTCCCAAGTTCAAGTGATTCTTCTGCCTCAGCCTCCCGAGTAGCTGGGATTACAGACGTGTGCCACCACACCCAGCTAATTTTTGTATTTTTAGTAGATACAGGTTTAACCATGTTGTCCTGGATGGTCTGGATCTCCCGACCTTGTGATCCACCTGCCTCGGCCTCCCAAACTGCTGGGATTACAGGCGTGAGCCACCGCACCCAGCAGCTGACATTCTTTATATGGATATTTCAGTTCTATTAGGTAGATTCTATATTTATCCTTTTTGCAGATGAGAATATTGAGAGTCAGCGAGCCTAAGGACCGTGTCGTTGGTAAAGACACATAATTTGTCTTGGAAAAATGAGTTATTTGCATTAGTTGGCACCAGGGTAAGTAATACAGGGGTAACGTTCTTCGGAGGCTCCATCCCGGCCTCCCAGGCTATGCATTCTCTGGGAACAGAGCCGTCTCCGTATCCCGCACTGTGTCTTGCACAGTCAGTGCCCAACAAATGCTTCCTAAGGAAATCAGTGAAACTATCTGTGCCGAGAAATAATTTTAACTAAGGAAGAATTTCTTAAGCAATAGCCATGATCTATCATGGTCTATATTTAATCAGACACCTTAGAGAACTGAACATGAAATGCACATCCTTGCTCATGCAGACATGTCTTCTGCCCTGCGAATCGGATCAAACACTGGCCAAATGGTTAGGATAACAGCCTGTACTTTGATAAACAATTTAATTTTCTTTCTCTTATTCTGTGAAAAACTCTTCCCCAAGGAATCCTTGTCAAGCCTCTTGCAGAGCAGCCCTTCGCCTACCTGTTGTTGTTTCTACAATTATTGCCACGTAAGCATCTCTCAAATGTATCTAAATCTACTGCTGACACCCGTCATCTGTTGCCTGAATCATTGGTTCTCAAACTGGGCTGCACTGTGGAATTATCTGGAGAGTTTTAAAAACTGCTGATGCCTGAGACCGCCAGCTTGCCACCTTGCATCCAGATACCCTGATTTAACTGGTATTAGGTATAGCCCGGGTGTCCAGATTTTTAAAACTCCAAGGAATGTAGCCAAAATTAATCTTTAACCTGGCTGGGTGCAGTGGCTCACACCTATAATCCCAGTACTTTGGGAGGCTGAGGCGGACGGTTTGCTTGAGTCCAGAAGTTCAAGACCAGCCTGGGCAACATAGTGAGACCCTGTCTCTACAAAAAAATACAAAAATTAGCTGGGTGTGGTGGCACGTGCCTGTAGTCTCAGAGACTAGGGGGCTGAGGTGGGAGGATCACTCAAGCCTGGGCTGTCAAGGCTGCGGTGAGCCGAACTTGTACCGCTGCTCTCCAGCCTGGCCAATGGGAGTGAGACCCTGTCCCAAAAAGAGAAAAAATCTTTAACCTAACCACTGCGATTGTCTCCTGACTCTCCACGTCCAATCTTTGCCCCATGCTGCTCCCATCCTGCTCCTCCTTTTCTTCTCCACAGTTAGAGTAACATTTTCAAAATGATTTTTAAAATTTTTTTGATTGCTGTAAGTTTTGGGTGGACCAGATGGTGTTTGGTTACGTGGTAAGTTCTTTAGTGGTGGTTTGTGAGATTCTGGTGCACCCGTCCCCCAATCAGTATACGCTGAACCCTGTTTGTAGTCTTTCATCCCTCACAAAATGAAATTGCGATCATTACTCTTGCCCTCCTTAAAACTTTTCAACAGTTTCCCATTAGTCTCAGACTAGAGGCCAAAACCTGAATATGGCCTGTAAAGTCTTTCTTACTCTGGTCTTGCCATCTCTTCAGCCGCATCCTGCTCCAAGATCCCTCCTGATTTCTGTGCTCCAGCACACTCTTATTTTTTTTAGTTCCTCAAATGTGTCGTGCTCCTTCCTGCCATAGGGCCTTTGCATATGCTGTACTTTCTGTGTACCGGTTTGCGCAGTTAACTTTTAGCTTATCCTTCAGCTCTCAGCTCATCATTTCCTAAGGGAAACTTTCTCTGACTTATTATAGGCTCTTTACCACCATAAAGACTCTGCTTCATAGCATTTAAGGCAAGTAGACTTTTAGGGTTATTTATTTTTTAGAGTTGGGGTCTTGTATGTTGCCCAGGCTGAAGTACAGCAGTACAGTCACAGCTCATTGAAGCCCCAAACTCCTGGGCTCAAGCAGTCCTCCTGACTCAGCCTCCTGAGTAGCTGGGACCACAGGCACTGCCATGTCCAGTTAATTTTTAAATTTCTTTTGTAGAAATGGGTTCTCACTGTGTCACCCAAGCTGGTCTCAAACTCCTGTCCTCAAGCAATCCTCCCACCTTGGCCTCCCAAAGTGCTGGGATTACAGGTGTGAGCCACCACACCCATTCATGGTTATAGGGTATAGAAATCTTGTGTCTATTCTTGCTTCCCGTGGTATTCCTAAAACCTGGCACATTGACTGGGACTTGAATAGGCTCTCAAATTATTTACTGAAGGAGTAAGTATGGATGAGTGAAAATGTTTGTGGCATCAAATATATCACCAATTCCAACTGATGCCACCCCAAAAATATCTCTGGAATCCATTTATTTTTCCTTGTGTTCCCTGCTGTTCCCAGCCACCATCATCTCTGGTCTAACCTACTAAACAGTTTCTCAATGGTCTGCCTGAGAAACTTTCCCCTCCATTTTCCCTTCTAAACAGTGTCCTCACAGCAGCCAGAGTAATACAAATAATGCCTTGAAAATATAGTAAGTCTCTGGGCGTGGTGGCTCACGCCTGTGATCCCGGCACTTTGGGAGGCTGAGGCAGGCGCATCACGAGGTCAGGTTAGACCATCCTGGCTAACACCGTGAAACCCCATCTTTACTAAAAATACAAAAAAATTAGCCTGGCATGGTGGCATGCGCCCATAGTCCCAGCTACTCAGGAGGCTGAGGGAGAAGAATCCCTCGAACCTGGGAAGTGGAGGGTGCAGTGAGCCGAGTTCACGCCACTGCACTCCAGCCTGGCGACACGACGAGACTCCATCTCAAAAATAAAAATGGATAAATAAATAAAATACAGGATGTCATTCTTCTGTTAAAAATCCTTCAATGTCTTACCATTGCTCTTAGAATAAAATCCAGTTGCTTGATCACGCTCACTGTCACTCGTTACCCACCAAACAACACTGGTCTCCTTTCTGTTCCTCAAATACGCCAAGCCCTTCCCAGCTTCCAGGCTTTTACACTTACTGTTACTTTTGCCTGAAATGCTCTTTATATGACTCATTCTTATTTTTCAGGGCTCAGCTAAAATTGCATAGACATTTTCCCTGACTGCCCTATTTAAAGTAACTTCCTTTAGCTCTCCTCCTCTCCCTGCTTATTCCCATATAGCACTACCACAATCTATGATGTAAAAAAAAAAAAAAAAATGCACTTGGCTATGCTCTATATCACCCACCAGGATGTCAGCTTTATGGAGGCAGGTATCTTGTCTGCCCTGGTCACCGTACTCAGCAGACAGCAGTGTCTGGTTTATAATAGGTGCACAATAGACAACGAAATCATACTGGGACCACGAGCTTCCAGCATGGACCCCAAGGACGCTTGTCCCCTGGTATTCATTCCTTGTGTAATCCTCTACACACTGCTTTAGAGCTGGCTGTATCTGACTAATAGGATACATCAGAAGTGACAATGTGTGACTTTTGCTTTTTGAGACAAGAGTCCTGCTCTATCACCCAGGCTGGAGTGCAGTGACACGATCTCAACTCACTGCAACCTCCGCCTCCTGGGTTCAAAGAGCTGGGATTACAGGCGTGAGCCACCGCACCTAGCCTCCTCTTTCAACTCCTGCCCCTCTGCTTGGTATTTCGTCCTCAAGCCTCATCTTCCCAACTGGATTGTGAGTTCCTGAAGGACCCAAATCATTGACTGGACAGACTTTGTATGAACTGGCACAATACATAGTAGATGGTAAAGATTTCATTGCTCTGCTAACATTTATTTAGCTCCATAGGTTTGGAAAGAATTAGGAACCGTCTTCTAAACTAAGCAAGGGAGAACACCGTTTGCGTCTGTCTGTCTGTCTGTCTATGAGAACCCTCATAGCAGAGGAGTTGCAAAGAAGGTCCTATTGAGGGTCACTTCGGAACCCGAGCCCCACCTGGATTTCCTCACGCAAAGGAAACAGATTTCAGACTCCCAGTTGGTCTTGAAGGGACAAAGGTCGGCCAGTCCTGTGGGACGGGAACCCCCCTGATGTTTTCTGACCACCTGCCCTTTTTGGTCCCTCCTCAACTCCCAGCAGCTTCTATGTCTCTAAGCCTCATCCTTCCTCCAGCCCTAACCCATGTCCCGCTAATCCCCGGCTTCCATCACCACAGACCTCCCAAGGGCCCCTGGGGCTGCAAACCCACCACTCTGCACTCCCTCCCAGCACCTGCTTCCCCAGTGACCTTGACCTCAGCTCCAGCCTCCTCCCCAGTCCCACAGGTCCCACCGTCAGGCTCCAATCTTCTCTGAGCCTCCAGAACCCGGCTTTGCCCTGCTTGAAGCCTCTCATCCCAAAGCCCTGCTCCATCCTCTGGCTCCATCGCGGCTCCATCTACTGCCACCCCTATCCCTGGCTCAACCGCTCCAAGATCCACCTCTCCCCCTGTTCCTGCTCTTCCCAATTGCTGCGTTTGCTCTTCCTGGGGCCCAGCCCAGGCCATCTCCTCTGGCATTCCATATTTTAAGTAAAAGAAAGTGACCCCCTTTAAAGAAAACTATTAAATAAATAGTACAGGTGACACTCTGCTGTGACAGAGGCTGTGTAGCTTCAGAGTCAAGCAGAGCCTGGGGTGAAATGACCTGGGTCTGAATTCTGCTTCTTCTACCTCCTAGCTGTGTGACTCGGGGCGAGTGAATAAACTGTTTCTGACTTGGCTTTTCCTACTGTATGTAAAATTGGGGAAATAGTAGCACTTTACCTCAAGGAGCGACTTTGAGGACTAAATATGTGCCTACCACTGTGTAACAGCCTCCAAAGTATTGAGGTTTATTCATTTAAAAAGTCTGTCGGCTGGGCGCAGTGGTTCACACCTGAATCCCAGTTCTTTGGGAAGCCAAGGTGGGCAGATCACTTCAGGTCAGGAGTTCAAGACCAGCCTGGCCAACATGGTAAGACCCCCGTCTCTACTAAAAATACAAAAATTAGCCTGGTGTGGTGGTGTGTGCTTATAGTCCCAGCTACTCGGGAGGCTAAGGCAGGAGAATTGCTTGAACCCAGAAGGTGGAGGTTGCAGTGAGCCCAGATGGCGCTACTGCACTCCAGCCTGGGCGACAGAGTGACACTCGGTCTTTAAAAAAAAAAAAAAAAATCTGTCAATGAAGTAATTCATCCCGAGAACTAAAATTCAGAGCACTAATGACAGCAGGAACACAAGCAATGTTTAAATTGCTGTCTGCATGTCCTCCCTCAAGGTCCTATACGTCAGGGAGACTCAGTCCCTTTCAGTACTTTCTTACATGCTGCGGCATCAATTACAAGGGGAACTTAGACTTTCTGAAACATGCCTCCAAATGTCAAATCATTGTCATAAAGTTTGAAATCAGGAATAAGAAAAGTTCCCTAACAGTATGTTTAGGCACAATAATGATTTCGTCATGTGACAAGGGGTCAGTGAAGAGGGGTCAACCAGGTGTGGTGGCTCACACCTATAATCCCAGCACTTTGAGAGGCTGAGGTGGGAGGATCACTTGAGGCCAGGAGTTCAAGACCAGCCTGGGCAATATAGTGAAACCCTGTCTCTAAAAAAAAAAAACAAACCACAGTGGTCAGACTTGAGGCTGTGTCTTAATAAGGATATATGCATTTCCATCCCTGAAATCTCCTCTGCAGGGAGCTATGTAGGCAGGAACCTTGGGAGGCCTTTCTTCCTACACCCAGAAACACACTCACATATCCATGCCCCCAACTTGACTGGTCCCAAACAGGCTCCCTGAGACAGCAAGCCCACGCGAGAGGCTGATCTGTGGCCCAGGCAAGGTTAATCTCAGAGAGTTAAGAGCAGTCGGCCTGACTTACCAATCTCGTAAAACGGCAGAGAATAGTCTCTTTGGTAAGTGGTTTCTTTATACCACGGTTCGGCAGGCTTTGAATGTCTTCGAAAACAAATATAGCGAATGAGTGTCTGTTGGTCTAATTGAGGCTGATAGTGATATTTTCTCTTGGGTGGAATTGTCAAGTCTATGAGCGGTCTAAATGGAAACAGAAACAGTTTGCTGAAAACCCGGTAGAAAAAAGCAATCCATTTTCTCGTCAGCTGAAATCCATTCTCTGGAGTGGCCATGGGGCTAACAAGAGGGTATTGACAAGACTCCCACAGCTCTAAGACCAGCCCTGGCAAAGCTTCTGTAGATAGTTCAGGGACTTCTGCTCCCTGTTCTTCGCTTTAGCCTCCCTCCTCCTCTCTAATCACGGGTCCTAGGAGGTGATGTGCATCACACCGTCCGCTAGACCTACCCATGTGCAGCCACTTCCCACACTTGAGGTCCCGGTGCCCTTTCCCTATGTAACTGTTCTGTGGATGTTTGGTTGCTTTAAGGAACCAATGCAGGGCTGGGGTGGTGGCTCACATCTGTAATCCCAGCATTTTTCGAGGCTGAGAGGGGCAAATTGCTTGAACTCGGGAGTTCGAGGCCAGCCTGGGCAACATGGCAAAACCCTGTCTCTACAAAATAATACAAAAATTAGCTGGGTGTGTGGCATGCACTTGTGGTCCTAGCTACTAGAGGGGCTTAGGCGGGAGGATCTCTTGAGCCCAGGAGACAGGGGTTACAGTGAGCTGAGATCAAGCCTGGGTGACAGAGCAAGACTCTGTCTCAAAGACAAAAAAAAAAAAAAAAAAAAAAAAAAGAATCCAGTACATCTGGTTATCTGGTTGGGGTTAGACTAACCACTGTGTGCCTCTTGGGGTTTGGTGAACCTGAAATCAGTTATAACCTTCCTGGACCCCTACTCAAATAGATATCCCTTGGGAAAGAAAAACAACCAACCACCAAAATGTAATGGCAAAATATCGCTTGTGGCAGTATACTTTCACTGGCACAACTCTGGTGATATATATTAAAACCTTGACAATGTGCACATATTTTGTCCTGGCAATTAGATGTCAACAAAGACTTAGCTCTAAGAATGCTTGTCAAAGTGTTTTTATGATAATAAAAGAATGGGGACAACTTTCATGTAAAAAAATAGGAAATTATTTAGACAGTGACACAGAAATATGTGGGAATGCCATGCCACCGTCAAAAGTGGTGCTGTACAGCCGGGCACGGTGGCTCATGCCCGAGACTGGCAGATCACCTGAGGTCAGGGGTTCAAAACCAGCCTGGCCAACATAGTGAAACCTGTCTCTACTAAAACTACAAAAGTTAGCTGGGCATGGTGGTGGACTCCTGTAATCCCAGCTACTTGGGAGGCTGAGGCAGGAGGTGGTGGTTGCAGGGAGCTGACATCACGCCATGGTACTTCAGCCTGGGTGACAAAGTGAGAGTCTGTCTTAAAAAAAAAAAAAAAAAAAGGATGTTGTAGGATTATAATTTTTGAAATGGAAAAAAAGTCCACAATACATTATTAAGTTTAAACCAAGGTTTCAATTGAATTATGCACTGAATTGAATTAAATTAAATTCATTTCAATTGAATTAAATGGATGAATTCTACGGTATGTGACTCATCTCAATGCAGCTGTTACCAAAAATAAAAAGGTTTTGAAACACCCATCCCATCATATTTTGAATGATTCTGCATGATTATCTCTGGGAGATGATATTGTGGATAATTTTCAATCATTTCATTTTTTATTGTGAATGTTTTCTGAATGTTCTCATAAACCTTTATGTTTTTAAACTATAAAATAGATGAGATGAGTTGCTGTTGATGTGAAAAATATTAAGTGTTGGCTGAGATTTAGGAACATCTAAATCTAATTGGGGTGAGTAGCCTTATGTGAGTATATAGCTGTGAACTAATCACACTTAAAGAGGTGACTAACTAAGACTGCTTAACAATCAGTTGTGTTTGCCTGATTCGGTCACCTTCACTGTGATGTGACATCTTTAAGAAAGAGTGTGTTAGCAGAAATGGAGTGGATCTGCCTGACGTTCAGAAAAGGCAAGAGCAAGAATCCAGCTATGCTTGTGGGATACTGAATGGGGAGAGATGCTGGATGATTGGATGGGTGCTCTGTATGGATGGGCCTCGAGAATCATCGAGAATACCCACCCATCTCTACTTGTTCTGATTTTATGCTTAACAGGTGTCTGAACTCGTAAAGTAGATGCCTTAAATCAGGCGTCCCCAAACTTTTTACACAGGGGTCAGTTCGCTGTCTCTCAGACCGTTGGAGGGCTGCCACATACTGTGCTCCTCTCACTGACCACCAGTGAAAGAGGTGCCCCTTCCTGAAGTGCGGCGGGGGGCCAGATAAATGGCCTCGGGGGGCCGCATGCGGCCCGCGGGCCGTAGTTTGGGGACGCTTGCCTTAAATGATGGGTGAGCGTCCTCCTTTTCCTACAAAAGAATGTCTCCCACTGTCAATCAAACATTAATGGTCTGGGGCAGGCGTTCCTGGCACTGAGTTCCTAAAATTTAAGTTACTTGACTAAGTTAAAACGCTCATGGTGTTTCTTAAGTGTCTTTGATGAGTTAATAAAATACTGTATTTATTGCTGCTTGTAGAAGTAATATATACTCATTAGAGAAACTCTAGAAAATAGAGAGAAATATTTAAAAATAAAGCATAAGCTGAGTGGGGTGGCTCACGCCTGTAATCCCAGCACTTTGGGAGGCCCAGGTGGGCAGATCACTTGAGGCCAGGAGTTTGAGAAACCCCGTCTCTACTAAAAATACAAAAATAATAGCTGGGTGTGATGGCGTGCGCCTGTAGTCCCAGCTACTTGCGAGGCTGAGGCAGGAGAATTGCTCCAGCTGGGAGACGGAGGTTGCAGCGAGCCAAGATGGTGCCACTGCACTCCAGCCTGGTGACAGCGTGAGACCTTGTCTCAAAAAAATTAAAAATTAAATATAAAATAAGAATAATCTCACCACTCATTAAAAAAAAAACATGAACAGTTTGGTATATTTCCTTTCAAACTTCTTCTATCCATTAAATAATACTTATTTTTGCTATTGTCAATATTATGAGGAGTTAGGTATCTTCCACCCACCTCTTTTTATCATTGTAACTTGAGCGACATTTTTGGAAATCGAGATTGAGGAGGGTGTCTCACCTGGGAGCTTTCTTTGCACTATCGTCAAAATGGAGTCTTGCCAGCTGCCCGGGGTAATAGCCTTGCAGATCTCTTCCTTGGTGAGCAATGAATATACTAGAGCAGAAAGTGAGAAGAAAGCCATTCTTACCGTTAGTTTCATTCCAGGAGAACGTCAGCTGTGGAGAAGACAAAACATATTTGGTCTTCGTCCCCAGCTCCTGGCACTGAGCCCCTAAAACCCATGGAATTTCTTGATAACAGTTTTTTAAATGCAAGTTTATGGTCCTTGCCAAGCTCCCTCCTCCCACCACAACTTCCTGCATCTGTAATAAAATGTCATTTATGTTCAGGATTCATAAGGAAATATTGAACATATTAGGTATCGGGTTCAAAATATTAGGGGAAAAAATAGGTGGATATATAAAACCAGTGGGTGGTCAAGCATATTTCTGGAATAAAATAAAATTAAAAGAAAAGAAAAGAAAAACAATAAAAAATAAATTAAATAAATAAAACCAGTGGGGCGAATGTTGATAACAGTTGAAATGTGGGAACTGGGCTGGGCATGGTGGCTCACACCTGTAATCACAGCACCTTGGGAAGCTGAGGTGGGTGGACCACTTGGAGTAAGGAGTTCGAGACCAACCTGGCCAACATGGTGAAACCCCGTCTCTATTAAAAATACAAAAAATTAGCTGGACGGGGTGGCACATGCCTTAATCCTAGCTACTGGAGAGGCTGAGCCAGGAGAATCACTTGAACTCTGGAGGCGGAGGTTGCAGTGAGCCAAGATTGTGCCATTGCGTTCTAGCCTGGGCGACAATGCCAGTAAATGGAGGGCTCTGTCTGGAAAAATACATAATAATAATAATAAAAGAAATAAGGGACTTGGTAGTGGGGACTCATTATACTGTTTTTTTTTCTACTTTTGATGTTTACAAAATTTCATTTTTTAAAAAACAACAACTAAGTCTGTAAAGACGAAACGTGAAGCAGCAGAGTGAGCAAAGCACCGCGCCTGTAAGCCCAGGAGGGAGACTCAGCCCTGTCGAGAGGCTGAAGGCCGAGGATTTTGGGGAGTGCCGGTGTGAGCCAGCACGTGGAGACCGGGGGACAGTACTTCTGCAGGGCGGACTTGAGAGAGGGCGGCACAAGTGACATACGAAGGGGAAGGGAGAGGCCGGGCTGGAGGGGCTGCTTCTTAGACTGCTTGAGGCCAGGAGTTCCAACAGACTGGGCAACATAGCAAGACCTGGTCTCGACAACAAATTTAAAAATGAGCAGGCAGCTTGTAGTCCCAGCGCCTCAGGAGCCTAAGGCAGCAGGAAGATCAGTGAAATCCAGGAGTCTGAAGTTGGACCAAGCTACGATCCCATCACTTCACTCCAGCCTGGGCAACAGAGTGAGACCTTGTCTCTAATAAATAAGTAAAAATGAGGCTTGCTCAAAGCCACGAAGCCAATGGGGCTACAAGGGGTGGACCCCAAAATCACAATGCGAAGTTGCTGTCATGAGTTTTTAGCTTCTCTGCTTCTGCAGACTCCACAGCAGGTGGTGAAGGGAGAGCGGAATTAGGACTGACAGATTGTCATCTGATATCACATTTAGCATAACAAAACATATCTAAGGCTTGTTATTCTTGTGCCATAGATGACCTTGAAGAAAGAGTGAAACTGCTCCTTCATTTCCATCTGTGCTGTCAGCTCCCATTGCGTAGAAGTACAGGAGCAATTTGTTTCGCCCCAAGCAGAGTAAACGGTCCAATTCAAAATGTGGGGTTGGGTCCCTCAGACTTCTTGCTAAAGCCCTTCCCAAGCAAAATCCAATATCCTGCTCTTTTAGGAATTTGGAGTTGCCTGTTTGCTTGGATTCTGCAATGAATATGAGCTTTCTTTTTCTTACAACTTTCCCTAAATCCAATGTAGAGGTGAAAGCAAGCCTGTGTTGGATGTTAATTACCATGTTGGCTTCTGATTAATCCCTTGTATTAGCCCATTTTTATACTGCTATAAAGTACTCGACACCGAGTAATTTATAAAGAAAAGGAGGTTTAATGGACTCACAGTTCCACATGGCTGGGGAGACCTCACACTCACAGCAGTAGGCAAAGGAGGAGCAAAGGCGTGTTTTACATGGCGGCAGGCAAGAGAGCTTGTTCAGGGGAACTCCCACTTATGAAACCATCAGATCTCGTGAGACTTATTCACTGCCACGAGAACAGCATGGGAAAACCTCCCCCCCATAATTCAGTTTCCTCCCACCAGATCCCTCCCATGACACGTGGGGATTATGGGAGCTACAATTCAAGATGAGATTTAGGTGGAAACACAGCCAAACTGTATCACCACAGGCCTCTAAGATTTCCAGTTTCTCTATGGCACTTCAGCCAAACAGCATTGGTGTTATAGTACTTCGATTGTCCCACACATTGCTTCTGTATCACCCTTTACCTAGGGTATCTAAGCCCTGGCTCTCGGGCGTAATGGCGCAGACATCCACCATCTCATCTCACCGCCACCTGAGACACATACGTAGCTTCTGATCCCAAGTCCCTGTTCAATATTTCTTTGTAAGAAGCTGGATTTGTCAGCCTCTTTTTTTGGCCCCTCAGCTTCCTCTGACTTTTGCCAGTAGGTTTGCACTGACAAGCTCAACAGGGAACGCCCAAAGAGCTTCCCTAGACCTCCCTAGCTGTGGCCCCTCAACCACTGAGCAGCAGGATGTGCGGTTCTAACTCCCCAGGGCCCTGGCTGCCTGGCCACAGCCTCGAGGCTGTGCATCTGGAAGAATAATACCTTGGTGGGATCGCTCGGCGACGCTCAACAAATTCTCGTAGTCGGATGGCAGTCATGATGGATGGGCATCTGAAAAAAAATATGGATAAAGGATCATATTGCCAGTTTCACGTAGCTCCACGGGTGAGCCCTCTAGGACCACAAAGTCCATCTTGAAAGAAATCAGTAAAACACTTGACATAGTAGAAAACTATGGGTATAGACTATTTAGGGAAGGAAAGACAAGGTTAGCAAAGGAGCAAAAAGAAATGGCCAGCACAAGGCAAATACACACAGGCATGCTTTGCTTTTCTTTTCTGAGAAGGAGTTTCACTCTGTCGCCCAGAATACAGTGGCGTGATCTCTGCTTATTGTAACCTCTGCCTCCTGGGTCCAAGCGATTCTCCTGCCTCAGCCTCCTGCGTAGCTGGGATTACAGGTGCACGGCACCACACCAGCTAATTTTTGTATTTTTAGTAGAGATGGGGTTTCGCCATGTTGGCCAGGCTGGTCTCGAACCCCTGACCTTGTGATCCACTAGCCTTGGCCTCCCAAAGTGCTGGGATTATAAGGCCTGAGCCACCACATCCGGCCAGATGTGCTTTTCTTTAAAAAGCAAAGGTAAAAAAAAGGTTAATATAAATAAATAAGAAAATAAAAAGCAAAGGTACTGTGCTGATGTTAGTTGGGTATAGTCTCCTGACCCACTTCATTGTTTTTGTTTTTGTTTTAATCAGTTACGACCCAAGATCCCGTCTCATTTCTTAGTGGGCCTTCCTACCTCACAAGCTTGCAAGCAAAGCACTACATTTCCCAGAGTCCCTGACAACTAGAATTTTGGCTAGGAATGAGAGTTCCTCAATCCGCTGTACAGTACTTGTTAGGATTTGGAAGGTGGCTACAGGGGAGAGGCTGCCGCCTTGATCTTCTCTACCGGCAAAGCAAGGTTGTGGAGATACGGTGTTTTTCTGCAGCAAACTCTAATGTCTCACCTCCAGCTTTGGGGAAGTCAAGAAGCAATTGCTGTGAAGGCAGTGGCTGAACTCTGTGTCCCAGGGTTCAAATTCCTTCATCCTAGGTGGCAGAGGCAGTGGCATTGGGAGTAGGTTCTTGATCTCAATACTCCTGGAAGCAGCTTCCTGATCTGGACTGACAGCTTTCCCAGTGATGAGTCAGTTTTGGGGAGATGCTCTAGATGCCTCTTGGGGGCCCCACCCAGAGCCTGTTCCTCCAGCCCTTCTGAAGATATTTTTTAAGACTTTCATTCTCTATGTTAACATTCTTTGTTTCCCATACTGAGCGTAGACTAAACATACATGTTGTTTCTAGTCTAAAACTTCTTTTCACATCTGTTTTTTTTTTTTTTTCTTTTTTGAGATGATCTTGTTTTGTCACCCAGGCTGGAGTGCAGTGGCACAATCTTGGCTCACTGCAGCCTCTGCCTCCCAGGTTCAAACAATTTTCCTGCTTCAGCCTTCTGAGAGGCTGAGATGAGATTATAGGCACCTGCCACCACAACCAGCTAATTTTTGGTAGAGATGGGTTTTCACCATGTTGGCCAGGCTGGTTTTGAACTCCTGACCTCAGGTGATCCACCCACCTTGGCCTCCCAAAGTGCTGGGATTACAGGCATGAGCCACCACACCTGGCCCACATCTGATTATTTACAGGAGAATGTGGCTTGCTACAGGCAAACTGCTACATTTAAATAATCCCATGAAGTGGTGAGATACCATCTCTTCGAAAGATACAAAAAAAAGAAGATTCACATGAAAAAGAGTGAACATTGGGAGGGAAGTTGAGTGGCTGGGGACAAAGGCATGCTTTTTACCATTTGCCTTAGGAATGCTGCGCTCTGCGCATCTGTTATGTAGGCGTAAAGACAGCTGGGCCTGTGGTTTGCACAAACATGGCTGGGGTATGGGGGGAGAACACTGGACTGAAACCCGTGTGGCCCGAGGCAGGTCATTTTCCCACTCTGCACGTTGATTACAGTAGCCCTCGGAGGGTTAAATGGGCGTTGATGAGTGCGGGAGTGTTCTGTGCCCCTGAAAGCAGCTCTGTGAAGGGAGAAATAGGCATTCCTGTTGGCAGTCACGGATTATGTGTCAGGTAACATGCATGAACTCCTTCCCAGCAACCCTTCAGAGTTCTGTTTGCTTCCAAGAAAGTGAAAACAGTAAGAAGTCAAGTAACTTGTATGAGGTTACCAAGGAAGCAGTGCTGGAACCCTCGGGCTGCAGAAACATTCATTTTAACTCTTATTCTCTATCGAAACAGTCACAAGGCACCCAGACCACCAGCCAAAACAAAACTAGGATTATTCAGTAACCAGGAGACAGAAAGGACTGGAAAAAAAAAATGTGTCCCGGCCCCTTCTTTTCCCTTTCATAGTCAACAGTTAACTCGTTGCCTGCCGCCTGGCTAGCTGCTTTATTTCACCTGAGTGTGTTTTTCAAAGTAACTTGAAAGCTGATCACTGATTGTCTGATCTATTCAGCAAAGATTTATTCACCAACTACCTTCACCGGACACTGCCAGGCACTCTGGAAAATGCGTGTAGCAAAAGATACGTGATTTCACTGTCATGTTGCTTAACAGTCTGGTGGAGGAGATAAAATCAGATATTAATCATAGAGCCACACAGATATAAAATTAAAGCACAGTTCCTCCTAAAACAGAATCCTTTAGCACCAAGTTCCCTTCCAGGCAGCTGGGAGGCCGGGCCTCCCTTTCCTCTTTCAGAGGTCTAAAACACAGGATCTCTAAGAGTAGATAAATCACATTTGCTTCAAAAAACCTGCGCACTTTCCCTGATATGAAACATCTGAAAAGCTTTTCTCAAGGAGAAGGACTTTCTGAAGACTTCGTTGAAAAACATTTTTAAAAATTGGCGTCTATTTTTATGGTAGGAAGAATTTTAAACAGTGTTGTTAAATTAGGTCTGTAATCCCAACACTTTGGGAGGCTGAGGTGGTTGGATCCCTTGAGGTTAGGAGTTCAAGACTAGTTCTGAGGCAGGAAAATCGCTTGAACCTGGAGGTGGAGGCTTCAGCAGGCCAAGATGATGCCACTGCACTCCAGCCTGGGCGACAGAGTGAGACTCCATCTCAAAAAAAAAAAAAAGTGTTGTTAAATCAAAGTTTGGGTGCTCCCAGTACAATGTCCAGTGGAACTAGTAACAATTACTTAGTAAATTTATCAATGTATAGGCCCCAATTAAATGATAACTACCAAGCTATTAATTAATTTGTCCAGAGAAGGGGAAGAGGAAGGATATTACAGTCAGGGTCCCAAGACTGATGTTATGTATCTAGTAAGATTTGGAAAATTCAGTGAGTCAACGGAAACATGTGGAATAGTCAGGAAATGGCATTTTAACTGGTGAGTACATTGCATCAGTTGATTTTCTGGATGCATTTTATAATGCCCCTTTTCCTTGGAAGTGTTGCATCTGTGTTCATGAAATTAGAAGAAGTTCAACCCCTGGGGAAAGCCGTGCCCTAGTGATCAGAGGGTGCAGAGGAGGCATGAGCGAAGAGGTTCTTCTTAGGATTGACATGACCCACGCTGGCGAGGAGCATGACTACTGTAGCAGCTGCTTTGAGCATGTGTGTGATGAGAGGCTGCTTAGAAGCGGGCTCGCAGTCACTGAGTGACTTTCTGTTTTCTCAGGTAGCCAGTTTTCCCAGGTCAGGAAGGTTGGCTCCCCCTCCCTGGATTCTCACCGATTCTGTCGTGAGTTCTGTGGCTCCCCTCCCCGGATTCTCACCAACTCCGGAGTCAGTTCTGCTGCCCGAAAACTCTTTCCTTTCTCCTTCTCTAGTCTAAATTAAACCCATTCTTCAGGGCCGTATTCAAGTCCTGCGGAAGTTCTCTACAAGGGCCCTCTTCTGAGTTTTAAATGGCCCATTTCCCTCCTCTGAATTCCCAGAGCCTCTGGTAAATTCTACTATGCATTTTGGTGTATTGGCTGCTGAATTAATTTATTCATTCTATTATTTAAGAAAAATCAGCGAACTCTCTGCCAGGCTTTGGATAAGGCTCTAGAAATTCTTCAAACCACAAGACATCTGGGGTTTTCTTGTTGTTGTTTTTTGTTTCCTTAAATAGACACAAGGTCTCGCTATGTTGCCCAGGCTGGTATCAAACTCCTGAGCTCAAGCAATTCTCCCGCCTCGGCTTCCCAAAGTGTTGGGATTATCGCTGTGAGCCACCAGGCTTGTCCAAGACAGCAGTTTATGCAGCACTCTGTCTCTCCAGGTAAAATGTGAGCTCCTAGACGTTGGGGACCGCTTTGTCCTGGTGGCCACTGTCTTCACTCTCTTTGTCCTTCTAGCTCATTCTCTTGCAAAGGGTTTCCTATCCAAGGAGTGCTTGATGCGTGCTTCAGAATGAATGAATGAATGAAAGAATCAGTCGCTCAGTAACTTAATAACCTGTTAATCTAGTTAACCGTTTTGAAAACTTAGGTCTTCTTGTATCACAGAGAACCAAATATCTTAAGAAATACAGGTGCACCCATTTCTAAGAAGAAGAAAAAAAAAAAAGACACGTTGAGTTAAAACTGACAAGAATTCAAAGTTGAGAGGGATGAGTGTCCACTTTCTAAAAGAAACGTTTGCTTTATCAAAAGGCTTGCTGTAACGTTTCTTTATGGTGTGAATTCCTATCTCTAAAATACTTGAAATGTAGTCAACCATTTGGTAATGCAGCCACTACGTGAGGCAAGAGCGAGGTCCAGGCAGTAACAAGCACACCGCTATTACCTGCCTCAGCTGCAGTGGGCAGAGACCTCCTTGTTCCTAAATGTACTCCTCTGAGGACGGTGGTGATAACAGCTGCCTCCTGCTGCTGGATCAACCGCAGGGACACACTGCAGCCGTGCAGAGCCTGATCCCTTTACATCATTCAAAGGGGATTGTGATGTACATGGGCTTACAGAGCTTTGCCAGGCAATGCCTTTCAGGTCTCGGGCTTATAAAAAGTAGAGATCCTTTGGTCGCTAGGGAGAGTCCAGCTGCACGTGAAAGAAAGGGCAAAAATGAGTGTGAAAAGGGAAATCCTGTAGGCAAATAATCCAGGCTGTCTAATCACCGGAGCTTTCTTTTCTATGAAGATTGTCCCAAGCACAATGTAGGGTGAAAATCTGGGTGTCACACTGAGGAGTCCTGCCCTTTACAAGCTGGAATTGAGGACGTGGTTTGGCATCAAGGGAAAGATGAGGCCAGCTCTGCCTGGTTCAAGACTAGATCAGGCTCCAGCCTGCTCCTCTGGAGGTATCAAAGGAGAATTTTAATTATTTAAAAATATGGTTCAAACCAGTCCATGGAGTATCACAGTAGCACCACTGTACAGAGCAGCGAGTCTAACCTGAGAAGAAGAAAGTGGCAAAACTATTTATTCTGACCCACCTCGATCAAAACCAAAACAAAACGCTGGCATTCTGTACTGCAGGTTGCCCTGGAAACAGGGATACTTCTCAGTTAGATACAGTTTGCAAGTTAGAAAGTAAAATATTTCCATAAGATTCCAGATGGCACTTAGGAGAGACCAGGGGCTAGGCTGGGTTCCCGCTGGGAGCGTAACCTACATGAAAGAGGCATAAAATAATGTAATAACAGAGTCTTGGTGACACAGCATTTTGTTGAAAGTAGATAAGCTAGAGAAAACTTAAATAGATAAGAACAGAAGCAACAAACTGGACCCACGCTAATAGAAATGATAAATTGGTTCTCATGTGTTGAGTAAGCACCTCCCCACACGTTGTTTTAGCTATTAGACATATACCATCTAGAATCTCCACCACCACCATGGAAGGAGGTTCTCTATTGAAAACAAAGTGTTTCTATTTGAAATGAAGGCTGAGAGAAGCTAAGAAACTTGCCTAACAGTCATACAACCACATTGTAATGAATCTACAATTTGAATCCAGTTTTTTGACGTCAAAGGCGTTGTAAGAATAATAGGCTGTGTTCTCTCCATTGAGGAAAAAAAACTGAACAAAAAAATTCCCATGTTCTTTATGTAAGAGATACCTGGCGATATTAAAAAAAGTACAAAGGAGAAAGTTTAAAAATAAACACAGGCCGGGGACAAGGGTTGTGCCAGTAATCCCAGCACTTTGGGAGGCCAAGGTGGGTGGATCACTTGAGGTCGGGAATTCGAGACCAGCCTGGCCAACATGGCTAAACCCCATCTCTACTAAAAATACAAAAAATGCCGGGCGCGGTGGCTCAAGCCTGTAATCCCAGCACTTTGGGAGGCCGAGGCGGGTGGATCATGAGGTCAAGAGATTGAGACCATCCTGGTCAACAAGGTGAAAACCCATCTCTACTAAAAATAAAAAAAATTAGCTGGGCATGGTAGTGCGTGCCTGTAACCCCAGCTACTCAGGAGGTTGAGGCAGGAGAATTGCCTGAACCCAGGAGGTGGAGGTTGTGGTGAGCCGAGATCGCGCCATTGCACTCCAGCCTGGGTAACAAGAGTGAAACTCCGTCTCAAAAAAAACAAAAAAACAAAAAACAAAAAACAAAAAATTAGCCAGGCATTGTGGTGTGCACCTGTGATCACAGCTACTCAGGAGGCTGATGCAGGAGAACTGCTTGAACCCAGGAGGCAAAGACTGCAGCGAGCAATCCCACACCATAGCACCCCAGCCTGGGAGAAAGAACAGGACTCTGTCTCAAAAAACAAATAATTTTTTAAAAAAGGAACGCAAATCTCACTAGTCAGGTTATAAGCAAAATGCTTGTTCTTCAGTACTGCAAGGAAAAACGAACATTCAGACAAAACGTTTTCTCAGTAAGACAATTTTACTTTCTGCAGAAAGATTGCTCTCGGTAAGCAATCTTGCTGTGAAAGCACAATGAACAAAGGAAAGGCGGCATGTTTATTCTTTACACCTGGGGCCCTTACTGCTGTGTCTGATCTCTGTTGGCTGGAGCCGGACTTCACAATCTAAACTGAACCTGATTGGCTAACAACTTAAAAGTTTTCTCAATAGGCAAAGGCGATGGAGAACAAAGGCTAAGAGGAGGTTGTTTTCAAAAGGACCTAGAAAAGTACTAACATTCTTAACTAAGGAAGGGGCACAGGCTGTGAGCTGGGACACGCCTGTGAGCACGTGCAGCACAAATACCTTGGTTAAAGCACAAGGACAGCCGGGCGTGGTGGCTCAAGCCTGTAATCCCAGCACTTTGGGAGGCTGAGGCGGGTGGATCACGAGATCGAGAGATCGAGACCATCCTGGTCAACCTGGTGAAACACCGTCTCTACTAAAAATACAAAAAATTAGCTGGGCATGGTGGCGCGTGCCTGTAATCCCAGCTACTTAGGAGGCTGAGGCAGGAGAATTGCCTGAACCCAGGAGGCGGAGGTTGCGGTGAGCCTAGATTGTGCCATTGCACTCCTGCCTGGGTAACAAGAGCGAAACTCTGTCTCAAAAAAAAAAAAAAAAAAAAAAAAAAAAAGCACAAGGACATAGAATGTACTTATTCTTTTATATCTGACAGCTACATAGGATAGGGCTCAACAAAGAGTTCTTAGCGAAAAGCAAGAAGGTGTTGAAGAAAGTTAGTCTTTAAAGGTCACTATTATTTCTAACATTTATTATTATTATTTAACAAGAAGGGACACTTTGAAGAGGAACCTTTTACTTTCCACACGTCAGAAATTATTACTGTCCACAACTGGTGAATATCAGTTTAGATGTCATTCTAGAGAGATAAACAGAGGTTAAGAGTGAGACAGTTTTATAGACAAATAATTTTAGAAAACTAGGATCATATTATGCATGCCATGTATGTAAAATATAAAAATATAATTTATGTGCATTTCAAAACATTTAACTGAAGAGTCAAACCAAAAGTACGGTGAGTCTACACAGCAGAAGAGATTGTGTGGACTGCTCAGCGGAGCTGCCTCTGAACAACAGGCACTGCTTTTGCATAAAGATGTTCATTGACAGAAATTTTGTCAAGCCTGTGCCATGCTTGGTGACCTCTAACACATAGGTCTCCATTCCCCTCAGCTTTAAAATGCCCTCCACATCTCCCTCCAGGTTTTGTGTATGGCAAGCTGGTGCTTCCTTAGATGAGTGGTTTTGGGACTGTCCTGCAAAACGTGAACACATCACCATCGGTCCATCTTTCCACCATGTCATATTGTCCTTTGACTCTCTCAAAAGGCAAAATATTGCCAGTCCATGCTGGCCACCGTCCAGAGAGGCCGCATCATCTTTTCTTATAATATATCCAAATCTTATCTTCATGTTTGGAAGCAACTTTGTTAAATAACTCTTTCCCCAGGATCCACCATTAATTCACTCTTGGGAGGTCATCTTCTGTCCACTTAGTCTCATATTTCTTTCTCGGTGACATCAGAGAGCTCGGAGACCTTCCTCATTGCATGAACCTTTAAATAACGCATGTTCTGGCTGGGCATGGTGGCTCAGGCTTGTAATCTCAGCACTTTGGGAGGCTGAAGCGGTTGGACCACCTGAGGTCAGGAGTTCAAGACCAGCCTGACCAATATAGTGAAATCGTGTCTCTACTAAAAATACACAAATTATCCGGGCATGGTGGTGCACGCCTGTAATTCCAGCTACTTGGGAGGCCGAGGGAGGAGAATCATGTGAACCTGAGAGGTGGAGGTTTCAATGAGCTGAGATCAATATAAATAAAAAAAAATAAAAAAAATAAAATAAAATAATACATGTTCTCATAATTCACAAAATACGGAAAAATGCAGGAACATGAAAATAATATGACATTCTTCAATCCAGAGACACTATTATTAACATGAGTTCATTCAATAGATCACAGTTATGATTGGAGTGGGGTGCCATGTATAATTCACTTCGCAGGAGGAAGCCCTGGCTAGTTAGCCAGAATTCATTCCAGGACCCAGCCACGGTGCTTCCTGTTCCTCATCCACTTCCCACCTTCCCTCGGGGAGCCGACCCTACATGGCAGATTTCCTGCCCTTCCTCTGGTCCCCTTGCTGGCTCCTCCGCCCCTCCCGTCTAAAGGTGTCTTTTAAACAGATGAGCCCTCTAGTCATAAGACGCACAGGGATCCGTGCAGTGGAAAGTGTGGTGCCCTGCCTCGACTACCCTTCAGGACCAAGCTATGCCCATACCTGCTGAGACTGTGGGCTGCCTCTTGATAACTCACAACTAAATTGCTCTTCAAGAATTGGCCTTAGGCAAAAACAAACAAAAAACTAAACAAAACTGACGTCCACGGTGTATGTTCCCACCTGCAAGCAGCCTATATCCAGTGACTCGTCCACATGGGGACGACAAGGACCAGCCCCCTTGCCTGGGTTTGGGACAACTGCGAAGGGTCATCTCAGCTTCAGACTCCCAGTGGAATCAGCCGGCTGAGGCGCAGCCCTGCTGCGTCTGGGGTCGTTTTCCCTCTGCTCAGTCCTGCTCCCTTTGCTTCATTGTGGAGAGGGTTCTAGTGCCTGTTCTCCAGCAAACCACCTCCACACAAATCTCCCTCTCGGAGAGTTTCCCGGTGAACCTGATGGGAAAGAGTTGGTCTGGGAGTGGGCCCAGGAAGCAGACTCTAAGATGAAATGTGAGATTCTGTCCCCGCCAGCAGGGCATCAGTAAAATCCTTACGGGTGGGAGGTGGAGTAGCGCTGGCCCCTGCCACTGTTGAAACCTTCCCTTACGGGACAAGGACAGAGCAGGAGTGGGAGGAAAGCAACTGGCAGGTGCAGCTTCTCGGGCATTTGAGACGGTGGGAGAAGTCCTTACAAGAGTCACGAAACCGGATGGCTCTTGATGAGTGCCATCTATGCTTTGCCGTAAGATGGCAAACATCATCATGAATTTAGGCCAAGTGTGAAAGCAGGGC